TCCTTTAACTCAAAAGCATTAATGAACTCATTGAACTTCCTCATGCTGGTAGTGCTCCTTTGTCTCACCTTATTGCTCTCTTCAATGAACCTTATCACATTGAAATCCCCTCCCACACACCACGGCCCCTCTCACAGACCTCTAATATCTCCCAGTTACTCCCAAAGCTCCTTCCTTTGTTTGTAATCATTGGGACCATAAACATTGGTAAGGACCCACTCAAATCCATCTGACACCTGCTTAAATTTGACAGAAATTCAGAACCTTTCCACTAATTCTTCCACTCCCTCCACTACTTCATCATTCCACAAAGTAATTAACCCTCTAGATGAACCCCAGGAGGGGCTCATAACCCACCTCAGTCCATTCACTCTCCACACACTTCTAGCCCACCTTTTGTCAAAAGTCATAAGTTTAGATTCCTGAGCATTCTCTTTGTTTTCTTTCAACAAAATAATTCTTACTAGTCAAAAAAACCTTATATAAATACAATTTTACATTTTCATGTGAACCTTTTATTCCATTGGGGGCTTTGTCATTTTGCATTTTTATCTCTAGTGCAATATAGGCACAATTGCTTCTAAAAATGTAATATTTTTGTATAGATCCCTTCACCTAAATGGTAGAGCTCATTACCTTAGTTAATGCACATCTGTATGATCTACAGTTGGAAAAATTTAAGACATGCTACACTGAGGTCTTGAGCCCAAATTGGGTTCAGCATCAGTTCTTGCAGTGTTTTGTCAACCTTTCTAGTGAATGCACTATTAAATGAAGAGGTGAACGGAAACTTTATTTTGAGGACCCGCTATTGAGGGATAGTCTGAGCTGTATTCTAGACATACACGTGTCTGGTTATGGTTCCAGCTGTTAGGCAGAGCTTTCTGGTTTCTGTCTTTCCTTCATGGTGTACTCTGAGCTTTTTCTCTATTTACAGTAAAGTGTTAGGTTTTGTTACTGATGAATGTAGTTCTTCCTGATGTCTGTTATAAAATTGGGGCAGTCATTACTCATTAGTAACTTGAGCATCCAATGTTTTCTAGGGTAACGGTGATGATGATGAGAAGAGATACTTGATTGGGGATCCTAGAATATCAAAGAAGGGACGGAAGCGTTCCAGAAGAGAAGCTATTGTGGGTCCTGCAGTGGATAAGGATGTGGCTCATGAAGCTGTTGGATTGAAACCTGCTACCTTGGTTCCAAAAGAGATTCCAGTGATAAAAAAGAAAAAGCCTGTGCTTCAGGTTGCATCACTGTCACACTTGAAAGAGATAATTAGATAATAAGATGCACTTTCTTTTTCTTTTTCCTTCTTTTCTAATATGTATTTTTTGTTCTTTTATTGGTTGCAGATCAAAATTGCTCCCAAACCAGTACATAATGAACTAAAACAATATGATAACTGCACGAAAGAATCAGTGGCACTAGACAAAGGGTGCTTGGAACTTAAACCGTATGCTAGTCCAGAAGAAATAGAGAGTGGAAAGTTGCCACCGGAGGAAATCTTATCACTTCCAATGTTTAAGGTATCATACATATCCAAATCCATGAAATGCTTAAATTAGCTATATATTTTCTTCCTCAAATAACCATATTCTTCCTACGAATTGAATACTTCAAAACTCACCATCAAGCTTGCGCCATGTCATGGCGCAACTTAGCCTTTCCAAAGTCCTGTGACACTTGTCTCAACAAGCAAGTCATTTTTTTCGGTAAATAACATGCAATTCATTCTTCTCTAACCTAATATCACTATGCTTGATAGGCTTAAATGTCAAAAAACACTATGGCACACAAACCCACCAAGGCACTTTGCTCACAAGGGAATCTTGCATTGCACCCTAAAGAGTTTCATAAAGGCATACAATTCTTTGATGCTTACAAATGAGGTGGGTCCCCCCTCTCTATGGGACTCTCCACCTCCTTAAGGAACAAATATGGACAACATGTTTCGCCTTGTTACTACAACCACATGTCACACCTCTAGCAGAAAATTCTAGAGACTATTCTAGAAACTTACATGTAAGACATAGAAGACTCTAGATAATGCCTAGGCATTTCTAGGCCATTCTAGACAAAGAAGACTACACAACTCTAGATTCTTCAAGGTGCATGGAGAACAATCCAGGAGACTCTAGAAGGTTCTGGCCTTGGCCCGAAAAATCTAGACACATCCATAAACCTCTAGCCATGGGCTCCTTTGCTCCCCAGCTCAAGCGGGGTATAACACCCCCTCCCCCCAAAATGATTTTGCAATGCCCTTGTTGCAGTCTTGGCAAAATTGGTGTATGAGTTGCTGGTGTCCCGCCAATGGCTTTGCCTATACCCATGTTGCTTGAGATTTTGATAGATCTCTCCTTTCCAAGTCTTCCTTTCCTTAAGAATGTCCTTGGGCTTCCATTGTTGCCATGTCCTTTAGCGTTGCTGCCTTTTGTCCCGTGTCAAGCTCCATGCCTTGGCCTTGGCCCCTGCTTCGATCATGCTTGCTTCTCTACCACTTCTTGGCCTTTGGACATGCCTCCTCTCCTTGCCCTATGTTCAGACGTAGGGATGTCCCTTGGGTAGTGTAGTTCCTTCCACCATTTGGGACCATGCACAGAGCTCCTTTCTCCATGATGCATAGTAACTTAGACATATGGCATTGGCATTTCCCACACTGTGCCACTGAACTCCATGCCAAAGAAGACTTGGTAGTCATCCACTGGCTCTGTCAAGAAGTCCATGTTCCCTTGCCATATGTTGAATTGCATGCCCACACTTTGTGCTTTGCTAATGATCTCTCTAGCTTTAGAGTTTATTGCCTTCATCCAACCTACCTGCTTGGTCACCTTCAAGTGCAGCTGCCTTGCCTTGCTTTATGCCTCTTATTTTGATCATGACATGTGTCCTCTGGCCATTTATGTTGGCCTCCACGAACATAAGGCCTACCATTGGCTTAGGTGGCTCCTTTTGCCAATTTATGGTGCTAAGGAGCTAGTTAAATAGTTAAATCTTATTTTAGCCTCCTCCTAGCCAGTCTCATGTTCTTTCAATTGGACTGCTAATGCACTAAAGGGCCTTCCTTTGTGGACATTCCTTGGTTTAGTGGTCCCTTCACATAAGAAGCACTTCCCTTTAGTCTCGGCCTTGTCCTTGTTGTTACTTTGGCTTGACCTTGGCATGGGTAACCTTGCTCTTATGGCATGTGAATTGGCTTCAGATACATCCATAAACCTCTAGGCTCTAGCCATATGTTCCTTTGCTTCTCAGCTCAGGCAGGGCATGGCAACCAGTTAGCTTGTTTGGAAAGAAATAATATAGGCTGCAACATAATGAATTGGTACATCTACTTATAAATGAATTACATCTAAAGTCTAAAGCTAAGATGTCTTTGACATAAAGGAAAATATCTGCTGAGTGACTATCATTTAAGTTCTCTGCTTTGAATTTGTGCAGAACTACACAGCTGGGAATCCTGCTAATGTGTTGTACATCAAAAACTTGGCAAAAGATGTGGTTCCTGATGACTTCTACTTCATATTTGGTAAGTGGTTGATGGAATTGTTATTGCAAGTTAACTTTAGAATTGGTGGTATTGTATCTTTTCTTTTTCCTTCTTTCTTTTGGGTTTTTGGGTGGGGTGTTAAGGGGAGATAAAAACAAAAACGTTATTAGAAAATTAGGAAGAGAAAAATATGTAGAAGAGGTTGGGTTGAGGATTTTCCTTTCTTTTTTGTTTTTCTGTGGGTAGGTGAGGTGGGGGGATCCTAGTGGGGCCTATACAAGAGGCTTGGATGCATGAAAGATTCTCTTTTTGACCAATAACAAAAAGAACATATGTTGAAAAGAAGACTACAGAAATGCCTAGAAAACAGGAAAATAAAAAAGAAGAAAGGAAGGAAGAAAAAAGTAGATGGATTTGGAGTTCCTTGAAGTCTTTCTTTGGTAATTTTGCTAGGTGTAAGGAGATTTGATTTTTAAGATTGGACCTCTCTTAAGAAAAAAGGATGACATCTTTTTTGTTTATTTAAAGATGGGCAATCTCGGCAATCCAAGAAATCATGCATGTGACGAAAAATTTTTCCAGACTGAAGCTTGGTCTTTTCGGAACAGGCCCTACAAGGAGTTATAAACGGGTTTATAGGAGAAAAGGTGTGAAAGGTATTGGGTCAGTTAGAATTGATCATAAGGGGTCAATGATGTAGGCTCAATCATCAGGTTCCCACTTGGGGGAGAAACAACAAGAAGACAAGGTGAGTGTCGATGGTCCTGATATTGATGAGAATTTGTCGTCACAAACTGGCGACGATAAGGATGATGCTTCTGGCTGCGTGCCTCTCCAGAAATTAGTGGAAAGAGAGGTCACAGTTGGTAAAAGTCTGGGCTTATTTTTTTGGGGTGGTGAGGAGTTTGCTAGAAGGGTCTTTGAGGAGTTTGAGAGGAGGGAAAGGGATGAGGATGATTCAGGGCAGGAAGATCCACTCGTGGATGAAGATTGAGACTTTGTCTGTTTCACAAGCCAAGGATTTGTTGGATCAGTTGTCTAGCTGGTGGTTCCTTGGTTCAAGGGGTTTCTCCGGCTGAGTTTGGTTTTTTGAATCTTTAGGTCTTTCATCTGTGTGGTTTTGGGTTTTGTTATGGAATGTTGTTGTCTCTATTGGGGTCCTCTGGCTATGTGTCTCTTTCGGGTGATACCTTATCACCTTTCTATTGTATTTCTTTTTCTTTTTTAATGAATTTCTCTTTATTCTTAAAATATTACCTGGAGCCTTAAATTGAGCTAGAAACCCCATAAAACACATTGGAGATGCCTTATATCACCTAATTCTCAAAGCTGAGGCTTAATGACTTTTAATTCATGTAGCAAATAAAGAGCCTCAGTCATATTTTATTCACACTCTCCCAGGGGACCCAAGAATGCTAACACCATTATAGTGCTTTTCATTTCTTTATTGTTTTTCCCCATATTTATAGGAAGGAAAAAAATCAAAACAAAAGCACTGCAGATTAAATATTTTAATCAGATATCTTCAAACCTTGCATATCATTTTATAAATCCTTTATGCTAATTAAGTTTCAATTGTTGCCCGCTTCTTTTTTATCCTTGTGTTATTATATCGGACTTATATTTACTTTATCATCTCTTGTGCGCTGCAGGATCATTTTTTGGTAGTGTAGAAGCAGCTAAACTGGGTCTGAATATTAAGTTAATGCAGGTGAGATCTACAGATTGCTGTTGCTTGTTGGGATGAAGATTGTTCATTTTATTTCTTGATTTTTAAAATTTGGTTTTATGCTTTAAAATTCATGTATCATTATTTGAGTTAAATTGGATACAAGTTTTATAATATAAAGCGGCAAACAAGGAGAGGAATAAGGAGAAAAAAAGAATATGGAAAGACATTTTAGAGGGAAGTGTACATTTTATTCTTAGCTCTTTCATTCATCTTTCTATTATTTTGGGAATCTTAGGCCCTATTTGGTATGCATCTGGAGAAACATTTCCTGGGATTAGAATGACATTTGGATGGCAATGCTATAGGGAGGGAGTCATAAAGTTAAACTTTGATGGCAATGCTATACGGAACCCGGGTGATATATCTCTTCCACTTTGGGAGGGACTCATAAAGTTAAGCTTTGATGGCAATGCTATAGGGAACCTCGTTTTGAAAAAGGGAAATGATGGAAAGAATGGAGAATGAAGGCTTGTGACCGGCCAGGAAGTGGAGAAGAGTCTTTACAGTAGAAAGGAAAGAACCCCTGTTGGAAGAGATTGTCTACCAGAAGGAGTTTACGACAAAGATAAGTGAAAGAAGGAGAGGAACAATATTGCTAGTGGGTGAAGCTGTGTCCTCGTTTCAGAGCTTCCTAGATGGAGCAGTGCATGTAAGCTGGTGCAAAACATGGAATAGCTCCTTTAGTTAGTTAAGGAGGGAATACCTTGCTGAGAGAAGAAGAAACTCCAAAGCCTGGTTTATTACATTGGAAGAAAAATTCGAAAAAGGGGAAAAACAAATGATCATCATACCCAAAGGCAACAAGCTGCAAAGTTGGACCATGATTGAAAATGGGATACACCAGAGACTCGTTAAGAGAGAGACTGAGGCGGTAAAGATACAAGAAGAAAAAGTGGTTGGAGAACTAGTAAAGGAGGAAATGACGGAAAGAAGGAAGGAATTGGAAAGKCTGGGTTTAGAAGAAACTGATGAAAACCAATCAAGATTCAGTGGCAGTGTCTCTCACAGCACCAGAACCAAAGATTTCATTGGTCGGGGAGAATGGAATTTCGGAGCAGAGGTTAATCCTTTCTGCAAAGAAAGAGGTAAAAGGCTGCAAAGTTGGACCATGATTGCAAATGAGAAACACCAGAGACTCGTTAAGAGAGAGACTGAGGCGGTAAAGGTACAAGAAGAAAAAGTGGTTGGAGAACTAGTAAAGGAGGAAATGACGGAAAGAAGGAAGTTATTGGAAAGGCTGGGTTTAGAAGAAATTGATGAAAACCAATCAAGATTCAGTGGCAGTGTCTCTCACAGCACCAGAACCAAAGATTTCATTGGTCGGGGAGAATGGAATTTGGGAGCAGAGANCAATCAAGATTCAGTGGCAGTGTCTCTCACAGCACCAGAACCAAAGATTTCATTGGTCGGGGAGAATGGAATTTGGGAGCAGAGATTAATCCTTTTTGCAAAGAAAGAGGTAAAAGGCTGGAAAGGATTATTAGAGGAGGTGACGTCTAAACTTGGGATTCATCGAACAGTCATACTAATCCCATTCAACAACAAAAAAACTGTAATGGAGGGGGGGGGAATGGTGGACTTCACCACTATAGACACAAAAGAGGGTACCATTAACAATTGAGAACTGGTGTCAATTGGCTAATATAGTAACAACTGGTGATGGGAGCTTCAAGTTGAAGATACTGGGTTTGCCATTTAACTTATGGTAAAAAACCTTGAAAAAATAGCGATGACTAGGGTGGAGTTCTCATATCTTTCAAGACATTAGATCTAAGAGCCATGAACATAAAGACTGTTGGTGTGAAGCCTAAAGCTGTGCCAAGAACTCTCAATCTATGTGCTGAAGGTTACTAGTACAAGGTCTAGGTCGCCTCAGAAGTGGAAGCGTCGTTCTGGTGCTGGAGATCGAAGCTTGAAGACAATGATGATGTGGTCAGGTGGGTAACACTTGGTGGAGAACAGGAAAAGAAAGGTGGACACATACGCAGACTTGTGGAGGAAGATTTATCTAGAGAGAAGGAATTGCCTTCTTTGGAAGTTGAATGGTCAAGTCCCCAAAGTTGAATTTTTAAGTAAAAGAATTCAATTTTTTTTTTTTTGAAATTGAAAGTAAGTTTATCGTCGGTCCCTCTTTCACTTAAATGGTTAGAAGGGCGACTCGGTCGGATCAGGGTCGAGGTCCACCTAGAGTTGTGAAAGAAAATCAAGTAACCCTCTTTGACCCAACTGTTCTATTTGTGGTTCAAACAGGGTCGAACCTAAAGGAGGGCCCCTTTGCTACAGTCGACTCATGTGACACTTTAAGTGGTCAAATGAGTCGGGTCTCATTGGGTGTGGCAAGAGACCATAGTGGTGATCTATCATTTTCTTCACAGGAACTGCAGTTATGTGAAGTTCAAAACAGGCCAAGTAAATGGAGCTCTCTGAAACAAAATTTCTAGTGGGTTCCAGTTGCTAAATCCAAAGTAGGGGACCAGGGAAGAGTGGGAGAAGATCGCCCAAATCCAAGATATTCTACGGTTAGGAAAGAGGAGATTGAAGAGGAAGACGATGTCTGGGTAAATTGCGGTTCCTCAGATGATGATTTTGAACCAAGGTGAGAGACAGAGAGCGGTAGCTTGGGGGAAGATACAGAGGAAAAAGAGGAAGTGGAAGGCACGTTTAATGCAGCCATTCTTTTTTTGAGGAATAGGAAGTTATTACCTCTGCTCTAAGATCTTTTGATGATGGTGGAATGCTAAACGAAGTCGAGTGCATTTTGGATGATAAGGGGGAAAGCTGAACACTGAGAGAAGGAGAGGGAAAATGAGAGTAAGGAAAGTGGGAGTAAAGTAGCTGGAGAGGGGGTGGAGTCTAGAAAGATGAGTGAGGGGTTCACAGAGGAGGAAAAAGAGAAGTTTGAAAAAGAAGGAAAAATAAGAACCGTTGGCTGAATTTGTAGGAAAGTTAGGTTGTAAAATAAAAAACCCAAATGAGCTAAAAGTGTACTTGAAGAATAAAAAAGAGGAAGGGAAGATGAGAAAAGGAAAGTTAAGTGAAGCCGAGAGGTTGAAGTTGGATCTGGAAGGGGATAATGAATTTAATGAAAGAAAGGGCAGGGGAAGGAAAGGAGGAAGATAGGAGTAGAAGGATCAGGGGGCAGGGGGCTGATTAAGAAGGAAAAATGAAGATTGTGAGCTGGAATTTGAGAGGCATGGGGAATGTAAGAAAGAGAGTGTTAATAAAGGAGGTCCTAGTTAAAGAAAACCCAGATATACTACTAATTCAGGAGTCTAAGCTCATGACATTTGACAATAGGTGGGCTAGAAGTGTGTGGAGAGAAAATGGTGTTACCTGGGCAATGAGCCCCTCTTGGGGATCCTCTGGAGGGATAGTAACATTGTAGGAGTCGAAGAATTAGTTGGAAGATATTCAGTTTCTGTCAAATTCAAATAGGTGGCTGATAGGTTTGGTTGGGTCTTAACTAATGTTTATGGCCCTAATGGTTACAGGCAGAGGAATGAGTTATGGGAAGAACTAGGAGATATTAGAGGGCTGTGGGAAGGTCCTTGGTGTATAGGAGGGTACTTTAATGTAATTAGATTCAGTGAGGAGTGTAACAATGTGCGGCAAAGAAATACCACAAGTATGAGGAAATTCAATGAGTTTATCCATATGTTTAAGCTCAAGGAACTGAATCTTTTACATAACAGTTTCACCTGGTCTAATCTCCATGCTGAACCAATTTGTTCAAAATTAGACAGATTTCTTTTCACTGCTGACTGAGAAGAACATTAGGGAGACTTGGTGTCAAGGACATTACCCAAAGTCACCTCTGATCATTGGCCAATATTGATAAGTAAGTTTGAGCCTGGAAATAGAGGACCTACCCCTTTCAGATTTGAGAATATGTGGCTGTACCACCCGGGTTTTACGGAGAAAGTAGAGTGGTGGTTAGAAAGTAACCCAAGGGTCAATTGGGAAGGCATGGAATTCTGTTGGAAGTTAAAAGAGTTGAAAGATAAAATCAAGGAATGGAATATTCTTCATTTTGGGAGGTTAGAAGAAAGAAAACAACAGATGGTTAACCAGATTGAGGAGCTAGATGCAAAATAAGAACTAGGTTCTTTTGGGGAAAGGGACAAAGAGTTAAGGTGGGAGTCGAGGAAAAATTTGGAGGATATCTTTTTTAAAGAATAAATCAGCTGGAGGCAAAAGTCTAGACATAAGTGGGTAAAGGCAAGAGACAGGAATACAAAATTTTTTCATGCTATAGCTAATGGCAGGAGGAAGAAGAATCTCATTTCTAAGCTTGTGATTGATGGTATAACCTTAACCCAGCAGAATGAGATGAAGGGGCTTTTGTGGACCACTTCAAATCTATCTTTAGAAGGTCTCTGATTAGCAGGTTATGGATTGGCCTAGGCTCCCTGAAGAGTTGAGGGTGTGGTTGAAAAGAAGATTTGAGTTGGAAGAAATAAGGGTTGCTATCTTCTCTATGGATAGATCTAAAGCCCCTGGTCTTGATGGTTTTACGTGGCTTTTTACCAAGACTGCTGGGAGATACTTAAGGATGATATTCAAGGAGTGTTCTCTGAATTTTTTGGAGGGGTGATTAATCCAGGTCTGAATTCTACCTTCCTTCGATCCCGAAAAAGGTAGGAGCTTGTCACCCCAAAGAGTTCAGGTCCATCAGTTTGGGCAGACCGAAGTTGTCAACAAATGCATCGAGACATATTTATGATGCTTTGTGGGGGACATACCTAAACAATGGATACAGTGGTTGCCTTGGGTAGAGTTTTGGTACAACTCCTCATTCCATGTCTCAGCTGGTATGACACCATTTAAAGTATTATACGGAAGAGACTCACCATCAGTTCTACCCTATGAAAAGGGGTTGTCAGCTAATGCAACGGTTGATGAGTGTCTTTCATCTCGAGATGAAATCATTTGTGAACTGAAGGTTCACTTGACACATGCTCAAGAACTGATGAAGCGCTATTATGATGCAAAACACAGGCCTGTTGAGTTCCGGGAAGGTGAGTTTGCCTACCTAAAACTCAAACCATATAGGCAGACATCAATGGCCTCCCACCCCTACAACAAGCTTGCCCTTAGGTTCTATGGACCGTTCAAAATTCTACAATGCATAGGATCACTAGCCTACAAGCTAGAACTGCCAGTAGACTCCAAAGTACACCCAGTTTTCCATGTCTCCATCCTCAAAAAACCACATGTGCAACATTATCGAAATTCACAGAAGAAGGGTGGCTACAGCTATGACCCAAGGACATCTTGAAATATAGATGGGTCATGGGCGAAACATGATCAAGCCTTTATTAAAGAGGCATTAGCCTGCTGGGAATAGGGCTGTCAGTTGGACTGGATTTGGTCCAATCCGATCCAGTCCAATATTGGTCCATTTACAAATGGACCGGACCAAATCCAGTCCAAACCCCATACAAACTGGATCCAACCCAGTCCAATTGAAATGCAAATGGACCGGATTGGGAATAGGACCAAATCTGGTCCAAACCCCATAC